CGCTCTTCCTCTCCCTTGTCCCTGCCTTCCTGCCCCTCTCCCTTGTCCCTGCCTCCCTGCTCCTCCTGCTGCTGTCGTCTCAGCTGCTCCTCCTTCTCAATCCGTGCCTTCTCTTTCCTGCGCCTGCTCCTCTCCCTCTTCGTCCGCTTGCCCCGCTCCCTCTTCTTCCTGCGTGACCCCGTCTCCCCCTTCCCCATCGCCCCTCCCTGCTCCCCACCCTCGTCGCTACCCCCTGACCTTGCTGGCACTGTCGCCGTTGGCTTGTGGTGTCGCCGTCCCCGCCCCGTATAAAGCTGGTTCACTATTCGCTTCTGCGACACCATCATTTTTTTGCCGTCTTGGATCCGAACGCAGGCAAGCGGGATGCGGGTGCCTGGGTCGACCCCAACCACGGGTGTGATGGGGCTGGTGTCGCAGACGGTGTCGCGGCGCGCGCTGGGCTCCACCAGGAGGTATGCTGTGTAGCCGTCCGTCCTGATGGACGTGACGCGACGCTTCCGGAACTGCCTGGCCACGTCTGCTCCGAGGAAATCGAGGAGGGACAGAGCTTGCCTTGGCGGTGGTCGCACTGCGGCAGGCTGTCGGCACTGGCGCTGGGAGTGGCCGAGGCGGCCACACTTGAAGCAGGTCAGGTCCCGTAGTAGTCCTGCGTCTAGTTGTATGAAAGGGTGCTTGTTTGTGAATGTGGGGAATATCTTGAGCGAGGTCAAGTCGGTGTCGGGCGGTGCAAGGGTCCTCGCAAGATGCTGCGCGGCGCCGATGTAGAGGGCCAGCTCGGCCGTGTGCTCACATGCGAAGCGCGCGCCTTCGTCATGGTGCTCCGCCACCTTCTTTAGTTGCCGTTGAGCAGCTCTCGCCTTGTTCTTGAGATCCCGTTGGAGGAGCGGGGTGAACTCCTTGGACGCCAGGTTCAGCAGCTTGTATGCCTAAGTGGTGAGGATGAGCACATGCATGCGCGCGTGTGAGTTGGTTGTGTGTGCGTGTGTATGAGTTGGTTGTGTGTGTCGCGTTGGTCGAGCGGGGACACACACCGCGATGCATGATGTAGCAACAGCAGGCATGGGAGTAGGGTCATCAAGCAGACAAGGCAAACACGCAAGCATGCGCACAGACATACCATGGTGGCCGTCATCCATTTCGGTGGGTCCGGTATCCCCACGCCGTGCTGTCGGAGGATTGACAGCATCGGATGCTGGCTATGTTTTTTGTGGTTGCGCAGTGTGGTGAAGAGGTTGCTTAGCTTGTCTGCTGTCAGCTGTGGCGCCAAGTGCTGGAAGCAGTAGGCAGGTCTTGGGGATTTGCCTGTGGCTGCTGCTGTGACTGTTGTTGCAGTGGCGGGCGGTGTTGTTGCTGCGGCTGCTGTTGCTGTGGCTGCTGTTGTTGCTGCTGCACCTTTTGCCCTCTTGCACGGGTTGTCAGACGGCGACGCCGCTCGGGACTTCTTGTGGTCCTTCTTCTTCTTCTTCTTCTTGAGGTCCTCGACGCCTTCGGCACGCTCCTGGGCCTCGCGGAAGGCGACCTTGCGCTCCACAATTTCCTTTCTTGTGGTCTGGGCGAGGTCCGCCAGAGTGGAGAGGATTTCCCGGTGGTGTTGTTCCGCAGTGCGCAGAATGTGCAGGTAGAGTGCCGTGGTTGCAGTGCACTTCATCTGCCCAGC